ATTTTGTACCATCGGACACTCCACCCCCACAACTCCCGATCAGTGATGGGGCAGTTGTGGAGAGAGTGGAGAGTTTCCCATACCTGGGCAGTGTGCTTATGACTGGCTCCAGTTTAACAGCAGAGGTCTCACTCCGAATCAGTTGAGCGGCAATATCTTTTCATCGGTTGTGTAACGCTGTGTGGAAGCTACCTGGTCTGTCGCTCCGCACTAAGCTTCAGGTCTTCTCGGCCACGGTCATTCCCTCCCTTCTCTACGCTTGAGAAACGTGGACCCCCCTAATGGAACATCTTCGCTGGTTAGAAACATTTAGGCTGGCCTGCCTACGATCCATCCTGGGTTTAACCAGACTGGATTGTGTGAGGAGCTCACAAATCCTTGAAAGATCTGGGCAAGGTCCCATCGGTGAGCTCCTCTGGCGGGCAAGGCTGCGATGGCTGGGTCATGTAGCCCGCATGCCCAGCCACCGCATGCCGAAACAGCTTTTGTTCGGCCGGATTGAGGGGGCAAAGCGGGCGCGGCACGGGCTAGAGAAGAGATGGAGTGATGTGGTACAGGAGGACGTGGAGCTGAGTGGACTTGCCGATGACTGGTACCAGCGGTGTCAAGATCGACCTCTGTGGAGGAGGCTCGTGAAGGATGCTACTGGGCAGTTGGAGGTAGTCGCCCTCCAACAACAACGGAGGGCGGAGGAGCGACGCTCACAACAATGAGCGGAGCGCCGGGTGGCTAAAGCACAGCAGGTTGGCACAGTAGGGGGCACAGGTGGTGCATCAGCCAGTCATCTCAGTCAGTCGACCCGTGGCACCTGGGTCTGCCCCGTGACCTCCTGCCAGCGGGCGTTCGACACTTCACCTGGCCTCAGGGTGCACATAGCCTGGCACAAGCGTCGTGGTGACGTCACCGCTACTTAGTGGCGAATGGCGGTTGTTGTTGTTGTACGTGTGTTGCGGTGCCGGACGGCAACTCTGTCGTGGACAGTGCTGTGGGGGGAGGTCCAATTTTGATTGCCTCCTCCCCTCATGGCATATGTGTCCACCACAGGGGCTAAACGGGGGCTCTGGACGGGTGCGAGGGGCTAATAACCCCTCCACCTTCAATTAATACCAATAAACCGCGTATAAAATATATAACTAATAAGCTTGTGCCGGAGGCCCCGGGGGGGCAGGCGTCTATGACGTCTCCTGCCCAAACCCCAATTGGCGGAGCCAGGAGATTGAATCTCTACCCTCGGGGCTCCTCCAGAAACAACGAAAAACCACTACGGGTGGCCACGTGGAATGTTCGAACGCTCACTGCGGAGGAGAGGCTGCCACTCCTCTGTCGGGAGCTGGACCGGTACCGCCTGGATCTATGTGGCATTCAGGAGGTCCGGTGGACCGGCTCTGGCTCCTGCCACCATGAAGGGTGGACAGTCCTCTACTCGGGGCAGCAGACTGCCAAACAACAGGGTGTGGCTCTTCTTTTGAACAAAAGAATGAAGGGGGCGTGGGAGCGAGTCGGTGAGGTGTGGGAAGCTGTAAGCCCCAGGCTACTTTGGGCTCGCCTTCCCATCAACCGAAGGTGAGGAATGGTGGTCATGGTTACTTATGCCCCCACCGAAGATGAACATCCGTGGAGGGATGCAGGCAAAGCCGATGAGTCAGATGCCTTCTATGACCTCCTGTCACAGGTGCTGGCTAAAGTGGCCCCTCGGGATAGAGTCATCTTGTTGGGTGACTTCGATGCCCGAGTTGGTCATGATACTGGCACGTGGTCTGGAGAGCCCCAATGCGGTTTCAGGAAAGGGCGGTCCTGCACAGATGACATATTTTCTGTCCGTCTGCTACAGCAGAGGTGTAGGGAATTCCAACAAGACCTACATCTCTGATTTATTGACCTGGTCAAGGCCTTTGATACCATCAGTAGGCCTGGGCTCTGGGTTGTTCTTCGTGCTTTTGGAGTACCTGACCCTCTGCTCACGATCATTAAGGACCTTCATGATGGTGAGCGGGCCCGGGTAAAACTACGTGGCCGGGAGTCAGAGCCATTCCCTGTACACCTTGGGGTGCGACAGGGATGTCCTCTGACTCCCACATTATTTAACATCTATTTTGACCACGTAGTTCGTGAAGCCTTCAATAGCTGTACCGGGGGAATCTCCATATGGTACAGATATAATGGGAGGCTGATCGATGCCCGGGTGCGGTCAAGGGATGGCTCCCTATTGATCAACCACGTTATGTATGCTGATGATTTGGTAATAGCTGCCCATTCAGAGGAGGAGTTGGAGATGCTGCTGCTGAGGCTGGAGCGTGCCACTAAGAGGTGGGGCCTTACCATCAGCCCCACCAAAACTAAGCACCTGCCTGGGTATTTTGTACCATCGGACACTCCACCCCCACAACTCCTAATCGGTAATGGGGCAGTTGTGGAGAGAGTGGAGAGTTTCCCATACCTGGGCAGTGTGCTTATGACTGGCTCCAGTTTAACAGCGAGAGGTCTCACTCCGAATCAGTCGAGCGGCAATATCTTTTCATCGGTTGCGTAATGCTGTGTGGAAGCTACCTGGTCTGTCGCTCCGCACTAAGGCTCAGGTCTTCTCGGCCATGGTCATTCCCTCCCTTCTCTACGCTTGCGAAACGTGGACCCCCCTAATGGAACATCTTCGCCGGTTAGAAACATTTAGGCTGGCCTGCCTATGATCCATCCTGGGCTTAACCAGACTGGATTGTGTGAGGAGCTCACAAATCCTTGAAAGATCTGGGCAAGGTCCCATCGGTGAGCTCCTCCGGCGGGGAAGGCTGCGATGGCTGGGTCATGTAGCCCGCATGCCCAGCCACCGCATGCCAAAACAGCTTTTGTTTGGCCGGATTGAGGGGGCTAAGCGGGCGCGGCACGGGCTAGAGAAGAGATGGAGTGATGTGGTACAGGAGGACGTGGAGCTGAGTGGACTTGCCGATGACTGGTACCAGCGGTGTCAAGATCGGCCTCTGTGGAGGAGACTCGTGAAGGACGCTACTGGGCAGTTGGAGGCAGTCGCCCTCCAACAACAACGGAGGGCAGAGGAGCGACGCTCAGAACAACGAGAGGAGCGCCGGGTGGCTGAAGCACAGCGGGTAGGCACAGTAGGGGGCACAGGTGGTGCATCAGCCAGTCATCTCAGTCAGTCGACCCGTGGCACCTGGGTCTGCCCCGTGACCTCCTGCCAGCGGGCGTTCGACACTTCACGTGGCCTCAGGGTGCACATAGCCTGGCACAAGCGTCGTGGTGACGTCACCGCCACTTAGTGGCGAATGGCGGTTGTTGTTGTGTACGTGTGTGTGTACGTGTGCGTGTGTGTGTGTGTGCATGTGTGTGTGTGCGTGTGTGTGTACGTGTGTGTGTGTGCATGCTCATCGGAGGTACACCGCACCACGTGGGTAGCAGCCTGCAAACACCACCACCACCCAACAACCACAACAGCAACAACAACCGCATTGCACCATGGGGCACGGGTAGCAGTCTGGCAACAACAACAACAACCGCCATTCGCCACTAATTGGCGGTGACGTCACCATGAAGCTTGTGCCAGGCTAGGTGTGCTTTGAGGCCCACATTTGAATTGTTGAAGCCTCGCTGCTGGCAGGAGGAGGTCACGGGACAGACCCAGCAGGTGCCATGGGTTGACTGCTGTACCAGGCTAGGTGCAGGAGGAGGTCACGGGACAGACCCAGCAGGTGCCATGCGTTCCCTGGTGTACCAGGCTAGGTGCAGGAGGAGGTCACGGGACAGACCCAGCAGGTGCCATGGGTTGACTGACTGAGATGACTGAGACGACTGGCTGATGCACCACCTGTGCTCCCACTGTGCCAACTTGCTGTGTTTGAGCTGCCTGGTGCTCCGCTCATTATTGTTACTGAATGGGTGACTGAGTGGGTGAGCGAGTGGGTGAGGGAGTGGGTGAGCGAGTGGGTTAGCGCGTGAGTGGGTGAGTGAGTGAACGAGTGACTGAGTGAACGAGTGACTGAGCGAGTGACTGAGCGAGTGACTGAATGGGTGACTGAGTGGGTGAGCGAGTGGGTGAGTGAGTGAACGAGTGACTGAGCGAGTGACTGAGCGAGTGACTGAATGGGTGACTGAGTGGGTGACTGAGTGGGTGACTGAGTGGGTGAGCGAGTGAGTGGGTGAGTGAGTGAACGAGTGACTGAGCGAGTGACTGAATGGGTGAGTGAGTAGGTGACTGAGTGGGTGAGTGAGTAGGTGACTGAGTAGGTGAGTGAGTAGGTGAGCGAGTGAGTGGGTGAGTGAATGAACGAGTGACTGAGCGAGTGACTGAATGGGTGAGTGAGTAGGTGACTGAGTGGGTGAGTGAGTAGGTGACTGAGTAGGTGAGTGAGTGAGTAGGTGAGTAGGTGAGTGAGTAGGTGAGTGAGTAGGTGACTGAATGGGTGACTGAGCGAGTGACTGAGTGGGTGAGCGAGTGAGTGAGTGAGTAGGTGAGCGAGTAGGTGAGCGGGTGAGTGAGTAGGTGAGTGAGTAGGTGAGTAGGTGAGTGAGTAGGTGAGTGGGTGACTGAATGGGTGACTGAGCGAGTGACTGAATGGGTGACTGAGTGGGTGAGCGAGTGAGTGAGTAGGTGAGTGAGTTGGTGAGCGAGTAGGTGAGCGGGTGAGTGAGTGAACGAGTGACTGAGCGAGTGACTGAATGGGTGAGTGAGTAGGTGACTGAGTGGGTGAGTGAGTAGGTGACTGAGTAGGTGACTGAGTAGGTGAGTGAGTAGGTGAGTAGGTGAGTGAGTAGGTGAGTGAGTAGGTGAGTAGGTGAGTGAGTAGGTGAGTAGGTGACTGAGTAGGTGAGTGAGTAGGTGAGTGAGTAGGTGAGTGAGTAGGTGACTGAATGGGTGACTGAGTGGGTGACTGAATGGGTGACTGAGCGAGTGACTGAGTGGGTGAGCGAGTGAGTGAGTGAGTAGGTGAGTGAGTAGGTGAGTGAGTAGGTGAGCGAGTAGGTGAGCGGGTGAGTGTGTGGGCACCGCTCACCCTCCAGTGTGTTCAGCTCGCTGCTCAGGTTGCCACCGGGCGCTGTGGGGCAGATGGCGGAGAGGGCGCTGCAGGCACTGTAGTGCCACGTGCACTCCCCCTCCTCGTTGTAGAAGTCACAGAACACGGCTGGGAGGAACCACAGACGCACACACAGTTACACACAAAGACAAAGATCCCCCGTGTAGCCTTAACAGACTGTAGGGGCAAGTGCTGTTAGCGAGTACCTACGAAGGCCGGAACGGCACACGAAGGGGGTGGGTGGCCAACACCACGCCCGGCCGCCTTTGTCTCCCCAGTGGCGATGTTTACACATCGCACCAGGTACTCATTTGAGGCTGAGTCGACCTAGGGGAGGCCCAGGACCGGTTCAGGTAATCGCCATCACCGGTGCTGGCCGTGAAGGGGAATCGAACCCGGGTCGCCAGGTTCGTAGAGCAGCGCGCTAACCGCTACACTACCGCTCCCCACAGTTACACACACGCACAACAACAACCGCCATTCGCCACTAAGTGGTGGTGACGTCACCACGACGCTTGGGCCAGGCCATGTGCACCTTGAGGCCACGTGAAGTGTCGAACGCCCGCTGGCAGGAGGTCACGGGGCAGACCCAGGTGCCACGGGTCGACTGAGATGACTGGCTGATGCACCACCTGTGCCCCCTACTGTGCCAACCTGCTGTGCTTTAGCCACCCGGCGCTCCGCTCGTTGTTGTGAGCATCGCTCCACCGCCCTCCATTGTTGTTGGAGGGCGACTGCCTCCAACTGCCCAGTAGCAGCGTCCTTCACGAGCCTCCTCCACAGAGGCCGATCTTGACACCGCTGGTACCAGTCATCAGCAAGTCCACTCAGCTCCAACATCCTCCTGTACCAAATCACTCCATCTTTTGTCTAGCCCATGCCGCGCCCATTTAGCCCCTTCCATCCGGCCGAACAAAAGCTGTTTCGGCATGCGGTGGCTGGGCATGCGGGCTACATGACCCAGCCAACGCAGCCTTGCCTGCCAGAGGAGCCTGGTTAAACCCAGGATGGATCATAGGCAGGTCAGTCTAAATGTTTCTAACCGGCGAAGAGGTTCCATTAGGGGGGGGGGGGTCCACCTTTCGCAAGCGTAGGGAAGGGAGGGAATGATTGTGGCCGAGAAGACCTGAAGCTTCATGCGGAGCGACAGACCAGGTAGCTTCCACACAGCGTTACGCAACCGATGAAAAGATAATGCCACTCGAGTGATTCGGAGTGAGACCTCTGCTGTTAAACTGGAGCCAGTCATAAGCACACTGCCCAGGTATGGGAAACTCTCCACTCTCTCCACAACTGCCCTATCACCAATTTGGAGTTATGGGGGTGGAGTGTCCAATGGTACCAAATACCCAGGCAGGTGCTTAGTTTTGGTGGGGCTGATGGTCAGTCCCCACCTCTCAGTGGCAAGTTCCAGGTTAAGCAGCAGCGCCTCGAACTCCTCCTCCGAGTGAGCGGCAATTACCAGATAATCGGCATACATAACGTGGTTGAGCAATAGGGAGCCATCCCTTGACCGTACCCGGGCATCGATCAGCCTCCCATTGTATCTGTACCAGATGAAATTCCTCCGGTAAGCTATTGAAGGCTTCACGAACTACGTGGTCGAAATAGATGTTAAATAATGTTGGAGCCAGAGGACATCCCTGTCACACACCAAAGTGAACAGGGAATGGCTCCGACTCCTGGCCACTTAGTTTTACCCGAGCCCGCTCACCATCATGAAGGTCCTTATGAGCGTGAGCAGAGGGTCAGGGACTCCAAAAGCACGAAGAACAACCCAGAGCCCAGGCCTACTGATGGTATCATAGGCCTTGACCAGGTCAATAATGCAGAGATGTAGGTCTTGTTGGAATTCCCTACACCTCTGCTGTAGCAGACGGACAGAAAATATGTCATCTGTGCAGGACCACCATTTCCTGAAACCGCATTGGGGCTCTGCAAGCCTCTCCTCAGTGTGCCTGGCAAGGTGATGTTGAATAATCCTTGCCAGGACCTTTCCCGGCACACTGAGGAGTGAGATTCCCCTGTAGGTATTACAGTCTGTGCGGTCCCCTTTCTTAAAGAGGGGGACCACCAGGGCATCTTTCCAATCCTGTGGAACCCGTCCAGTGGTCCAGACTGTTGTTATGATGTCATATAGGGCAGTCTGTGCCACACGCCACCCTCCCTCAGCATTTCGCTTGGGAGATCATCTCTGCCCAGTGCCTTTTCTGGTCTCAGGCTCCGGATCGCCTTCAGTACTTCCTCAACAGATGGCATCTCAGCTAGCCACTCACAGAGAGCGACTTCTTATTCAAATATTTGAGGCACCGCAGCCTAAGCAGGGTCATCCCCACTTTGTCCCATGTTGTTTTCCAGGCTGAGGGATTTCCCCTCCCCCAGGACCTCACAGAAATGCTGAGCAAATCTGCAAACCTGTTCCTGGGGGTCGGAGATTGGATCACCGTTCTTTCCCCTAATGATGGTAATAGGTGTGGCGCTGCAGATTACTTTTTTGATGAAGTTAAAGAGTGATTTGTAATCACGGGCCATTGAGGCAGACTCCATCTCCTCAGCAACATGCAACCACCAACCATCTTTGCAGCGCCTCACGGCTCTCTGAACCTCTGAGCGAAGGCTGAGGTAAGCCTCCTCATTCTCTGACGTGGGATTCTGTAGCCAATGACAGTGGGCCTGTCCCTTTTTCTCAACCATCCTGAACACCTCCTCTGTCAGCCAGGGTCTCTGGGGAGGTCTGGATCGCGTACCCAAAGCAGCCATTGCAGCTGCATGAGTCACAGTCCTAAACCTCGCCCATTTACCCTCGACATCAGGAGGAGTCGGGGACGATGCCAATCCCAGCCGCAAGCGATGATGAAATTCTCGCTTGCAACTTTCATCAGATAACTGAGACCAGGCCACTATGGGTTTGAATTAGATCCTGGGTGTACACCCACCACCGGAGTGGGAGAATGGCAGGCGCATCTTACAGATGACAAATAGATGGTCAGTGGGCAGATCAGCTCCACGGTAGGTCTGGGTGTCAAGGACATGGGCCCGCATCCGCTCTTCCGTCACTATGTAGTCCAGCAGATGTTCTTGCTTGGACCCGGCATGCATCCATGATGTTGTGTGGATGCGCCGATGCCAGAACAGCGTGTTGGTAATTACAAGCCCATGGGCTGCACAACAATCTAGCAGCCTCCTACTGTTGTTATTGAGCTGATCTGGCCCATGTCTTCCAATCACTCCAGACCAGGTGCTAGCATCATGACCAACTCGGGCATCGAAGTCACCCAACAAGATGACTCTGTCCCGAGGGGCCACTTTAGCCAGCACCTGTGACAGGTCATAGAAGGCATCTGACTCATCGGCTTTGCCTGCATCCCTCTACTGATGTTTGTCTTCGGTAGGGGCATAAGTAACCACCACTACCACTCCGCGCCTCTGGTAAATGGGAAGGCGAGCCCAAAGTAGCCTGGGGCTTACAGCTTCCCACACCTCACCGCCACGCTGCCACACCCCCTTAATTCTTTTGATCAGAAGAAGAGCCACTCCCTGTTGTTTGGCAGTCTGCTGCCCCGAATAGAGGACTGTCCACCCCTCATGGTGGCAGGAGCCAGAGCTGGTCCACCGGACCTCCTGAATACCACAGAGATCCAGGCGGTACCGGTCCAGCTCCCCACAGAGGAGTGGCAGCCTCTCCTCCGCAGTGAGCAGTCGAACATTCCACGTGGCCATCCTTAGTGACTTTTTGTTGTTTCACAGTTACATGCACAGTTACACACACATACAGTTACACACACACAGTTACTCACACACATAGTTACAGTTATACCAATACCAATAGCCGCCATTCGCCACTATGAGTGGGTGGGCGAGTGAGTTGGTGAGTAGGTGGGTGAGAGGGAGGGTGAGAAAGTCGGTGAGCCAGTAGGTGAGCGAGTTGGTGAGCGGGCGAGTTGATGAGTGAGTGAGTGGGTGAGTGAGTGTGTGAGTGGGTAGGTTAGCAGGCTGAGTGGGCGGGTGTGTGAGTGGGCAAGTCAGTGAGCCAGTGAGTGAGTCGTTGAGCGAGTGAGGGTGAGTAAATGGATGAGTTGATCAGTGAGTGAGCGGGTGGGCGAGCGAGTGAGCGAGAGGGTGAGTGAGTGTGGGGGGATGGTCAATGGGTGGGGGGGGTGGTGGTGAGTGAGTGGGGATGAGTGAGTGGGGGTGTGGTGAGTGAGTGGGGGGGCGGTGAGTGGGGGGGTCGTGAATGAGTGGGGGGGGGGGGGTGGTGAGTGAGTGGGGATGAGTGAGTGGGGGTGTGGTGAGTGAATGGGGGGGGCGGTGAGTGGGGGGGTCGTGAATGAGTGGGGGGGGGGGGTGAGTGGGGGGGGTGGTGAGTGTGCGAGTAGGTGAGCGAGTGAGGGGGTGGTGAGTGAGTGGGGGAGGTGGTGAGTGAGTGGGGTGGTGGTGAGTGAGTGCGGGGGGGGGATGGTGAGTAAGTGGGGGGGTGGTGAGTAAGTGGGAGGTGGTGAGTGAGTGGTGAGTGAGTGAGTGGCGAGCGAGTGGTGAGTGAGTGAGTGAGCAAGTGAGTGGTGAGTGAGTGAGTGAGTGGTGAGCGAGCGAGTGGTGAGCGAGTGAGGGAGGTGGTGAGTGAGTGGTGAGTGAGTGGTGAGCGAGTGAGTGAGTGGTGAGCGAGTGGTGAGTGAGTGAGTGAGCGAGGGAGGTGGTGAGCGAGTGGTGAGTGAGTGAGTGGTGAGCGAGCGAGCGAGTGAGTGAGTGGTGAGCGAGTGAGTGGTGAGCGAGCGAGTGAGTGGTGAGTGAGTGAGTGAGTGGTGAGCGAGCGAGTGAGTGAGTGAGTGAGTAAGTGGTGAGCGAGCGAGTGGTGAGCGAGCGAGCGAGTGGTGAGCGAGTGTGTGAGTGGTGAGCGAGTGAGTAGGTGAGTGAGTGAGTGAGTGGTGAGCGAGCGAGTGAGTGAGTGAGTGGTGAGCGAGCGAGCGAGTGAGTGAGTGGTGAGTGAGTGGTGAGTGAGTGGTGAGCGAGCCTCACGACACATGTCGGGAGTCCTCCAGTGCACACAGACGCCGTGGTCGCGGCAGGCGCGAGCGTACGCGGCCACGGCAGTGCACACGCACTCGCAGTCGCCGCCGCCGTCGCACGCACACGCGTCACGCACGCACGCCTCCAGGTACGGCACGTGGTACACCTGGGGGGGAGGGGGGAGACACGGGGGGGGGAAGGGGGGGTGGTGGACGCACGGGGGAGAGACACCACGGTGAGACACGGTGACGGGGGTGTGGCGGGGGTGAGTGTGTTGGGGTGGTCGTGGTGGGGTGGGCGTGGCGTGTTGGGGTGGGCGTGGTGGGGTGAGAGGGTGAGAGGGTGAGAGGGTGAGAGGGTGACCCTCCCCCCACCCCCCCTCCCACCCTTCCTCCCTCCCCTCCGCCCGTGACCCACCTGTGCGTGGCACTCGGCGAAGGCGTCGCCCCCGATGACCGCGCAGCGTCTCTGCGCCCACACTTGGCGGTAGGGGTTGGCGCGGCACGGATCCATCGCCACCAACGCCGTCGAGCTGGACGAGGAGGATGAGGACGAGGAGGACGACGAGGAGGATGAGGAGGAGGATGAGGAGGATGAGGAGGAGGAGGGAGGCGCCGGGGCGCCGGATCCCCCGCACGGAGCAGCGCGCCAGCCCCTGGCCAGGGCCGTCGGCGAGGCCACCCTGGCGCCATCGCGGCCCACAAAGTCGTCCGAGACGTCGCCGTTGTTGTTGCCGCACAGGCCGCAGACGCGGCCCTGGGTGGGGGGTGGGGTGGGGGGAGTGCAGCGAGTTGGGAGAGGATTGTTATCGTCGGCTCGTCTCTGATCACTGATCCAATCTCTCTCTCTCTGGTTCTCTCTCTCCGGTTCTCTCTCTCCGGTTCTCTCTCTTGCCCCGATCTCTCTCCGGCCGACGCCGACGCCGCCGACGCCGGCGCCGCCGCCGCCGCCCACCTGGTACGACGGCGGCAGGGAGAGGGTCAGGCTGGTCCTGCGGTCCCACGTGAGCGTGAGTCCCACCGCCGTGGACACGACGAGGTAGAGGCCACGTGACACCACGGTGTGACGCCGCTCGGGAGACGCGGCGGGGCCGACGCGAGACGCGGAGTAGTTCCCGTCGTGCAGGTAGATCTCCACGTCCTACAGGGGGGCGCGCGCGGGCACAGCGCACGTGGACACAGCGATGCGGAACGACAAGTTAAGCCCGCAGCCTGTGGTTAGGGCCAGAGCTTGAATTATGGCCCCGGCAAGCGGCCCCAAAGCCTGAGGTAGACCCAAGCGCCGTTGGCTATGCACGGCGTGAAAAGAAGGTCAACCTACGTACAAACGAGGAGCATGATTTAGGCCCAAAGCCTGAATAAGCCCAGACAAGGATCCTGAGTTGGGCCCAGAAAAGGAGCCTGAGTTAGGCCCAAAAAGCCTGAGTTAGGCCCAGACAATGTGCCTGTGGTTAGGGCCAGAGCCCGAGTTAGGCCCAGACAATGTGCCTGTGGTTAGGGCCAGAGCTTGGGTTGGGCCCAGAAAAGGAGCCTGAGTTAGGCCCAAAAAGCCTGAGTTAGGCCCAGACAAGGCGCTTGAGTAAAGGCTCAGAGCCTGAGTTAGGCCCAGGCAAGGCGCTTGAGTAAGACCCAGAGTCTGAGGTGTGCCACATTGCCGCCCTGCACAGGCGCTGCAACTCCCGACTAACAGCACTTTGCCTCAACAGCCTGTTCAGGCTATACGGCGGGATCTTTGTTCAACACGTAGGCTTTTGCGACCAAACGCAGTTAAACTAACTCATTAACCCCCCCCCCCCCTCCTTCTGGTCTTCGCACCTGATTGGCTCACAAGTGGCAACATCACATTTATCCCCCGTCTATCTCAGGCCCAGACCAGCATCATTTGGCCGTCGCCTGATGATGTTAGTTGTAATTACCGGTGAAATGTCATGGTACTCGAATTGCAAATGTTGTGGGTTTACTCTCCAACACACAACCGGTTAGTGCCTTACCATAAACTAATTGTCATCTTTTGTTTACGCGACAAACAACACCAGTTGGCTGTGTCAGGCGGTGGCGGGTTTAACGGCACATTTGTATTCACGCGATCTAACCCAACAACCTCTATTGTGGATATTTGCGCGTGTCGTCCGAGTGTGTCTGAGCGTGCCCCAAAGTGACCCTCACCTCCAGAATGATTCTGACTGCCCGGGAGCAAGTGGTCCCAGACGTTCCGCACGGCAAGTTCTCCGTGATGACGCGGAACGTGCCCTGCTGCTGCTGCTGATCCCCGCAGTAATCCTGAGAGACATGCAAACGCATGCAAAGACGCACACACGCGCGCGCGCGAACACGCACGCAGATGCACACACACACACATCGACCTGGATTATATTTCTCAGTCAGACGGGGCCTCAAACACAGATGACAATTCCTGGCAATGCTTGGCTCAGTTCGGCCCAGACACAGACCCTGAGTAAGGCCAGAAACAGAGCCTGAGTTAGGCCCAGATAGTAAATTAGGCCCAGACACGCAGCCTGAGGGTCAGGCCCGGATGAAAAGCTTGAGTTAGGTCCTGGCACACAGCCCAATTACATTCAGCTTTCCAAAAGCAAAAAAGGGTCCCACAGACATAACTGCTCGACCCAAGCCATTAATACTTTGATACTGGTGTAGTGAGACATTTCGTAGGGAGGGGGGGGGCACGTCTTTATTATCCACATGTACCCTAACCACTATACATCAATTCTTCACGCAGTTCATCTTGAGGACCTCTTCCACGTGGTATATCATACGCCTCCCCGTGTTTGCGTGCCTAACCCGACTACGCTCCGGGTCCTCCGGCTATAATATACGATGTGAGACTACCTGACCTGACCCAGCCAAGGTACAGGTCCAACACTGACCTCATCACAGAGCTTCGGCCCTTAAAAGGACGGCGAAGCTAGGGGTTCAGAATCCTACTCTAGCAGCGTCTTCTCTTGCTTCAACTGGTTATCTTCAACTGGTTATCTTCAACTGGTTATCTTCAACTGGTTATCTTCAACTGGTTATCTTCAACTGGTTATCTTCAACTGGTTATCTTCAACTGGTTATCTTCAACTGCTCCGGTCTCCAACTGCTTCGGTTTTTAAACCGCCTGGACCTCTCCAGAAGTTCGCCCTACATCCGTTTCTCAGCCGAGGTGCGGACCCTCAGTGAGGGACGCGGGTGACCCCAGTCCCCCACTGAGGTCCGCATGTCTGCCGTTGCGGGTCAGCGCAGCCGCAGCCACCCAACTGCTTCACGGCTGCCTGTCATTGCCTGCAAGCGCAGCCCATCCATGGCGCTGCACTGCCATTGGCTTGGTGCTGTTCGCCTTTTGGCATCATTCTGTGATCCAACACTGGCGCAGAGACACGGCCACAGAGGTAAGCTGCAGGTCTGGCGCGGGCCAATCGGTTGCAAGGACAAACGCGTACACAGCGATTTGTCAAGGCGCGTTCGTTTTTTTGACCACGACGCGTGGTTGGGCAGGCATGACGCCGCCTTTCAGTCGACAACAACAGCTGTCACCTTAGTCCGGCGTTTGAACATCTTACAACACAACGGGCTAAAGGGCACCCCAGTTCGATGCGTAGGCTTTCGCGACCGATGTCGTTAATTTGTCGTGGGTATATATTAAAAAAAAACAACAACAGCGGCAAAAAAAAATCCCTATTACACTTTTTTCTTTTGATTTAAAGCTTTCGTGACCGCAGTAATTCATATTCTTGGCTCTTTCGGTAAAGTTGCGTTGAAGGGAAACAATAAAATAATAAAAAATATATACATAAAACAATAAAGAATCTCACGACGTTTCGACCACAACACAAAATGGTCATTGACCGTTGTTTTATATATATTTTATTATTTTATTGTTCCCCTTCAACGTGACTTTACCGAAAGGGCTAAGGATATACATTTTTTCAGCGCTAACAAAAGGGCGCCGGTGCCTGCGGCGGTCGGCTCCGAAGCCGAATCGCCCGAGGGCACGGTCCACGTACCGCCGGCTCAGCGAGCCACCCCCCCACACCCCTCACCTGAGCCACGACGAACTCGCAAGAGCCGTCGAGCACGAACTGGCGCCCGTCAAAGGAGCTGTAGTGCCCGTCGCCGAACACGGAGCACGTGGAGAGGCAGGGCTCCTGGCGACGCGCCTGGCAGGCCCACTGGCCCCCACGGCACGTGCTGGGACACACGGACGCACGCACGCACGACAGCAAGAGGCAAAGATCTCCCCCACGCCACCTTCTCGTGTGTGTGGGCGTGTGTACGTGTGTGCGTGTGTGTGTACGTATTAAACGAAACGGTAAGCTCACAACTTGTCATACTTGGTGGTGGTGACGGTGGCGGTGGTGGTGATGATGATGGTGGTGGTTATGTTGGTGATGCAAGCACCACACTCACCACTTCTCACACTTGGTGGTGACGGTGATGGTGATGATGATAATGATGGTGGTGGTGGCGGTGGTGATACAAGCACCACACTCACCACTTCTCACACTTGGTGGTGATGGTGGTGGTGATGGTGATGATGATGATGGTGGTGGTGGCGGTGGTGAAACAAGCACCACACTCACCACTTCTCACACTTGGTGTTGACGGTGGTGGTGATGGTGATGATGATGATGGTGGTGGTGGCGGTGGTGATACAAGCACCACACTCACCACTTCTCACACTTGGTGGTGACGGTGGTGGTGATGGTGATGATGATGATGGTGGTGGTGGTTATGTTGGTGATGCAAGCACCACACTCACCACTTCTCACACTTGGTGGTGATGGTGGTGGTGATGATGATGATGATGATGCAGCACCACCACACTCACCACTTCTCACACTTGGTGGTGACGGTGGTGGTGACGGTGATGACGGTGATGATGATGATGGTGGTGGTAATGATGATGCAGCACCACCACACTCACCACTTTTCACACTTGGTGGTGACGGTGCCGCCGCTGCTGTAGGAGCGGCCGTTGCGGCTGCAGGGGCAATCCCGGGGGGCCACACAGCCCCCCACGCCGTCCGCCAGCAGACCCCGGGGACACCCACAGCCCGGCTCACAGCGGACACTCAGCTAAGCGGAGACACGGGGAGACACGGGGAGACGCGGGGAGACACGGGGAGACACGGAGAGACACGGGGAGACAAGGGGAGACACGGGGAGACACGGGGAGACACGGAGAGACACGGGGAGACACGGGGAGACACGGAGAGACACGGAGAGACACGGGGAGACACGGGGAGACAAGGGGAGACACGGGGAGACACGGGGAGACACGGGGAGACAAGGGGAGACACGGGGAGACACGGGGAGACAAGGAGAGACACCGGGAGACACGGGGAGACACGGTGAGACACGGGGAGACACGGGGAGACACGGGGAGACACGGGGAGACAAGGAGAGACACGGGGAGACACGGAGAAACACGGGGAGACACGGTGAGACACGGGGAGACACGGTGAGACACGGGGAGACACGGAGAGACACGGGGAAACACGGGGAGACACGGTGAGACACGGGGAGACACGGGGAAACAAGGGGAGACACGGGGAGACACGGTGAGACACGGGGAGACACGGAGAGACACGGGGAGACACGGAGAGACACGGGGAGACACGGGGAGACACGGGGAGACACGGGGAGACAAGGAGAGACACGGGGAGACACGGAGAGACACGGTGAGACAGGGGGAGACACGGAGAGACACGGTGAGACAGGGGGAGACACGGAGAGACACGGGGAGACACGGGGAGACACGGAGAGACACGGTGAGACAGGGGGAGACACGGAGAGACACGGTGAGACAGGGGGAGACAAGGAGAGACACGGTGAGACAGGGGGAGACACGGAGAGACACGGGGAGACACGGGGAGACACGGAGAGACACGGTGAGACAGGGGGAGACACGGAGAGACACGGGGAGACACGGGGAGACAAGGAGAGACACGATGAGACAGGGGGAGACACGGAGAGACACGGGGAGACACGGGGAGACACGGAGAGACACGGTGAGACACGGAGAGACACGGGGAGACACGGGGAGACACGGGGAGACACGGAGAGACACAGGAGAGACACGGGGAGACACGGAGAGACACGGGGAGACACGGGGAGACACGGAGAGACACGGTGAGACACGGAGAGACACGGAGAGACACGGGAGACACGGTGAGACACGGGGAGACACGGGGAGACACGGTGAGACACGGAGAGACACGGGGAGACACGGTGAGACACGGGGAGACACGGGGAGACACGGTGAGACATGAGGACATGGGTAGCTGAGTCAGGGAGCCATGGTTGTGGTGATGATGGTGATGTCAGTGACGATGTTGGTGATGTCGGTGACGATGTTGGTGACGTTGGTGATGTTGGTGATGTTGGTGACGATGTTGGTGATGTTGGTGATGATGTTGACGATGATGGTGATGTTGGTGATGTCGGTGATGATGTCGGTGAAGATGGTGACGATGTCGGTGACGATGTTGATGATGCTGACGATGTTGGTGATGATGTTGGTGATGTTGGTGACGATGTTGGTGATGTTGGTGATGATGTTGGTGATGTTGATGATGTCGGTGACGATGTTGACGATGTTGGTGATGTCGGTGACGATGTTGACGATGTTGGTGATGTTGGTGATGATGTTGGTGATGATGTTGGTGATGATGCTGGTGATGTTGACGATGTTAGTGATGATGTTGGTGACGATGTTGGTGACGATGTTGGTGATGATGATGGTGATGATGTTGGTGATATTGGTGATATCGGTGACGATGTCAGTGACGATGTTGGTGATGTTGACGATGTTGGTGACGATGTTGGTGACGATGTTGGTGATGTTGACGATGTTGGTGACCATGTTGACGATGTTGGTGACGATGTTGACGATGTTGGTGACGATGTTGACGATGTTGACGGTGATGTTGGTGATGATGTTGGTGATGTTGGTGATGATGTTGGTGATGTTGACGATGTTGGTGACGATGTTGGTGACGATGTTGGTGACGATGTTGGTGATGATGATGGTGATGATGTTGGTGATATTGGTGATATCGGTGACGATGTCAGTGACGATGTTGGTGATGTTGACGATGTTGGTGACGATGTTGGTGACGATGTTGGTGATGTTGACGATGTTGGTGACCATGTTGACGATGTTGGTGACGATGTTGACGATGTTGGTGACGATGTTGACGATGTTGACGGTGATGTTGGTGATGATGTTGGTGATGTTGGTGATGATGTTGGTGATGTTGACGATGTTGGTGACGATGTTGGTGACGATGTCGTCGATGGTGACGCCGGGCACTCACGCAGGGCGTCTTTGTGATCTTCCCGTGGCACGAGGGGGCACACCCCACTCCCTGTGCCGCTGTCGCCGCCTTCCCCGTGCAGTTGTAGCGCACCAGCGGAGCGGAGCACGTGCCTGTGACGTCACAACAGCCGCCAGCGAGTGGTGACGTCACAACAACGACGTCGTCGTCACGTCGCGGCAAGGTCGCGACGTCACAACAGCCGCCAGCGAGTGGTGACGTCACAACAACCGCCAGCGAGTGGTGACGTCACAACAACCGCCAGCGAGTGGTGACGTCACAACAGCCGCCAGCGAGCTGTGACGTCACAACAACCGCCAGCGAGTAGTGACGTCACAACAACCGCCAGCAAGTAGTGACGTCACAACAACCGCCAGCGAGTGGTGACGTCACAACAACGACGTCGTCGCATCGCGGAAAGGTCACGACGTCACAACAACGACGCCGTGACGTCACAACAACGACACCGTGACGTCACAACAACGACGTCGTGGCCTCAAATCTACGACGTCGTGACGTCACAACAACGCCGTCGTGACGTCACGGCGTTGTCACGGCCATCGCCGCGATGTAATCCGACATAAACTAAACTTAACAACAAATATTTTATATATTCTTGGTTCTTTCGGTAAAGTCACGTTGAAGGGAAACAATAAAATAATAAAATATATAATATATTTACAATAATAAAATATATAATATATTTACAATATATTATAACGAGGGAATGAAACCCGGTGTTTATAAAATAGTGCCCCCATTATTCTTGGTTCTTTCGGTAAAGTCACCACCACGTAGAAGGGAAACAATAAAATAATAAAAATATAAAACAATAAAATTCTCACGACGTTTCGACTGCAACACAAGAAGCAATCATCATCAGGTGTGAAAACCACTTTTTCTCTAATTTTCTTGCTGTGGGTTTCACACCTGATGATGATTGCTTGTGTTGCAGCCGAAACGTCGTGAGAATTTTATTGTTTTATATTTTTATTATTTTATTGTTTCCCTTCTATGTGGTGGTGACTTTACCGAAAGAACCAAGAATAACAATTTTATTGTTTTACAATAATTTTATTGTTTTATATTTTTATTATTTTATTGTTTCCCTTCTACGTGGTGGTGACTTTACCGAAAGAACCAAGAATAATAATTGTATTGTTTAATATTTTTATTATTTTATTGTTTCCCTTCTACGTGGTGGTGACTTTACCGAAAGAACCAAGAAGAATAATTTTATTGTTTTATCTTTTTATTATTTTATTGTTTCCCTTCTAACGTGGCGACTTTACCGAAAGAACCAAGAATATAAATCCCTGCAGTCACGAAAGCTTCACATCGAAACTTAACAACAACTATAAACTAATTCTAGATTTGAAGCTTTCGTGACTGCAAGGATCCATACGTACACATGTGTACGTGTGTACGTGTGTGTGTAGGTGTGTGTGTAGGTGTGTGTGTGTGTGTAGGTGTGTACGTGTGTGTGTAGGTGTGTGTGTAGGTGTGTGTAGGTGTGTGTGTAGGTGTGTGTGTAGGTGTGTACGTGTGTGTGTGTAGGTGTGTGTGTAGGTGTGTGTGTAGGTATGTACGTGTGTGTGTAGGTGTGTGTGTAGGTGTGTAGGTGTGTGTGTAGGTGTGTGTGTAGGTGTGTGTGTAGGTGTGTACGTGTGTGTGTAGGTGTGTAGGTGTGTGTGTAGGTGTGTGTGTAGGTGTGTGTGTAGGTGTGTGTGTAGGTGTGTGTGTAGGTGTATGTGTAGGTGTGTAGGTGTGTGTGGTGTGTAGGTGTGTGTGTGTAGGTGTGTAGGTGTGTGTGTGTAGGTGTGTAGGTGTGTGTGTAGGTGTGTACGTGTGTAGGTGTGTGTAGGTGTGTACGTGTGTAGGTGTGCGTGTGTGTAGGTGTGTGTGTGTGTAGGTGTGTGTGTAGGTGTGTGTGTAGGTGTGTAGGTGTGTGTGTGTAGGTGTGTAGGTGTGTGTGTAGGTGTGTGCGTAGGTGTATACGTGTGTAGGTGTGCGTGTGTGTAGGTATGTGTAGGTGTGTGTAGGTGTGTGTGTAGGTGTGTGTGTAGGTGTGTGTGTAGGTGTATGTGTAGGTGTGTAGGTGTGTGTGTAGGTGTGTGTGTGTAGGTGTGTAGGTGTGTGTGTGTAGGTGTGTGTGTAGGTGTGTAGGTGTGTGTGTGTAGGTGTGTAGGTGTGTGTGTAGGTGTGTGTAGGTGTGTACGTGTGTAGGTGTGTGTGTAGGTGTGTGTGTGTGTAGGTGTGTGTGTGTAGGTGTGTAGGTGTGTGTAGGTGTGGAGGTGTGTGTGTGTAGGTGTGTGTGTGTGTGCGTGTGGGGAGCGGTAGTGTAGCGGTTAGCGCGCTGCGCTATGAACCTGGCGACCCGGGTTCGATTCCCACTCACGGCCAACACCAGTGACGATTATCTGAACCGGTCCCGGGCCTCCGCTAGGTCGACTCAGCCTCAAATGAGTACCTGGTGTGGTGTGTAAACATTGCCACTAGGGAGACAAAGGCGGTCGGGCATGGTGCTGGCCACCCACCCCCTCGTGTACCGTTCCGGCCTTCATAGGTGCTCGCTAACAGCACTTGCCCCTACAGTCTGTTAAGGCTATATGGGGGATCTTTGTCTTTGTGTGTGCGTGTATACGTGTGTGTACGTGTTTGTGTGTGCGTGTGTAGGTGTGTGTGTAGGTGTGTAGGTGTGTGTGTGTGTGTGCATGTGTGTGCATGTGTGTGTACGTGTGTGTACGTGTGTGTGCGTGTGTGTGTAGGTGTGTAGGTGTGTGCGTGTGTGTGTGAGTGCCTGTACCGCACGTCCTCACCGTTGTCCACCTGTGCAGGTCTCTCACAATCGAGCACCCCGTTCTGACACGTGCTGCGCACACACAGCACACACGTAACACGTTAACTACACACTAACTACACACTAACTACACACTAACACAACACGTTAACTACACACTAACACAGCACGTTAACTACACACTAACTACACACTAACACAGCACGTTAACTACACACTAACTACACACTAACACCGCACACTAACTACACACTAACACAACACGTTAACTACACACTAACTACACACTAACACAACACTAACACAGCACGTGCTGCGCACACACAGCACACACGCAACACGTTAACTACACACTAACTACACACTAACACAACACGCTAACTACACACTAACACAACACACTAACTATACACTAACACAACACACTAACTACACACTAACACAACACGTTAACTACACACTAGCTACACACTAAGTACACACTAACTACACACTAACACAGCACGTTAACTACACACTAACAAAACACACTAACTACACACTAACACAACACGTTAACTACACACTAACACAACACTAACACAACACGTTAACTACACACTAACACAACACTCTAACTACACGTTAACTACACAAACACAGCACATTAACTGCACACTAACACAGCACGTTAACTACACACTAATACAACCTTAACACAACACGTTAACTACACACTAACACAACACGCTAACTACACCCTAACACAACACTAACACAGCACGCTAACTACACACTAACACAACACGCTAACTACACGTTAACTACACACTAACACAGCACGTTAACTGCACACTAACAGAGCACATTAACTACACATTAACACAACACACTAACTACATGTTAACCACACACTAACACAACATGTTAACTACACAATAACACAACACGCTAACTATAACACAGCACGCTAACTACACACTAACACAACACGCTAACACAACACGCTAACTACACACTAACTACACACTAACACAACACGTTAACTACACACTAGCTACACACTAAGTACACACTAACTACACACGAACACAGCACGTTAACTACACACTAACAAAACACACTAACTACACACTAACACAACACGTTAACTACACACTAACACAACACTA